GTAGGTTTGCCATGGGGACACATTGAATTTTCTAGTGCTGTATATGCCACCCAGAAATGAAATATATTAACTTGCATCGCATTTCTATTAGAAAATAAGATTTTTTTTTTTTATTTTATTTTTTTTTTAGCTATTTATGACAAAGCTGTAAAGTTGTTTCGGAGTGAAATGCAGAGACTTTCATCTTATCTAACGAGTTTGCCTCTCCCACTATCAGGCAGAACCAATTTGTTTTATTGTATTTTGTGGTGTTTGCACTGCGGTTAATAGTTACAAACACAACATGAAAGATTGCACAAGTCTCAGATGAGGATGAATCAGACTGCAAGTTTTCAACTAGTTTGAGCAGGTCCAAGTACCTGTTTAGCATAGAATCTATCATGCCTTCATCCCCTCTTGTCTGTGCAAAACTTCTAGGCATCTCGCACATAAGCCAGCAGTCTGACCTTCTAGTGAGCTGGATCAGGAGTTGACATGGCTGAAAATTAACATTGATTTAGAAAAACAAAAAGAAAATAATTTCTCAATTACATGATTATTAATGCTGGCACAGGAGACATGCTGGAAGTATGTGGTCAAGACAAGAGGGGATCTTAAACCTTAATAAAACTGTATGTTCTTTTTTTTTTTTTTTCCAAAATATTTCATTTCAAGGGAAATAGGGAAGGATTTGCATTATTTTGCCAATGGCATGTACTGTTCCTCTTCAGTTTTCATCATGTTATGAGCTGCCAGAGGTCATTTATAGCCACATGAATAATTAGAAAATGTTCGTGTGCAGGTGGATGTGTTCTCTGCTAATCACATTTGTCCTTCTAAAGTCAGAGGAAGGAGTGGAGCAGAGAACGTGATTTTCACAACACATTGTTAATTAGTCCAGCATCTGATATCAGACTTTTAAAACTGAACACCCCTTTTTACTGAGATGGTGTTAAAACACTGTTTTTTAAATAAAGACCATTCAATTTATCTACATATATATGTGGCTGTTGCCACCATGAATATTCTCCTAGAATTCTTCCATAATTGTAATTTATTTTTATTCAGGGCTGATTTTTTTTTTTTTTTATTTTTATTTTTATGGACCACATGATGTAATTGCTTTGTGCGTGGGGTTACTGCTGATTCCTGGTGGGAACCTGCCCTTCTGCAGGGCAATATCTGCTGCAGGAGAAGGAAACCTGGCTTTGTACCTCTGCTGTGCTGTGTGCTGAGCAACTACTTCACCCAGCACAATCATGAACGGTATTGCCATAGCTCTCAGGATTTTCTGACTGATTTCATGAGTAGTGCTTACTGTGGCACTGAGGGTTTTTAGCTCTGTGTGTGTATATATATATATTTAATTATTTTTTTTCCAAAAAGATAATTTTCCAGGGGAAGAGGAGTGCTACTCCAGCAGAGAAAACGCTAAGAGATTTTATTGGTGGTATTTATAGACCTTTTGCCCTACAGGAACTATAGAAAAAGCCTGCAGTGAAGCTGAGAGCTTGGCTGGAAGGACTAGCCCTTACCTGGCAGATACTACATCTTAACGCTGCTCTGAGAGACTTGAAAATAGTAAGAGTTTATGTGATACACAAACAAAATTAGATATTGACTAATAAGAATTTGTGATAACCTGCAGTGAGGTGTTTTTTTCAATCAGCTTCTGAGACATCAGAATTATGGTGTAATCTTTTGTAAAGCTGTGATCAAGCATTTCAGTAATAAACTCTGTTTTCAGGCATTTGTAATGGAGTGCGGAGGAATATCTGGGGACGTTTTGGGGTTAAGCCTGGAATACTGTAGAAATACCTCATCATGTATGCAACCAATTTTCAAGTAGCTGAACTGGGACTTTTTTTTTTTTAATGGGAAATACATTGAGAATTGCTCCAGGCAGGTATTTTATTTTCAAAGGTGGGTTAATATGTTTAACAGACTGGGGCAATTTGAAATGCTGACCAGAGTTTCTACACCTGTATTAATACAATCATTATATATTACACTTTTTTTTTTTTTTTTTTTTTTTTTTTAA